AAGAGGAAAAAAAAGATGGCGTTTGGTTGGTATTGCCACCATTAACTTCAATAAAAAATGAAGGAAAAACTAGCTGACAGATTTCAAAACTCCCTACACTACTTCACTGACGTTATGTTCTTTCGGTGATTGCCAAAGACGACCAGAAAATCTCTCGCAGTGTTCATATTTCTCTACCTTTTATTCTAGGCGCGTTTCTGATCCCTTACCTCCTTTTCCTGACGTTTGATGGGGTACCAATCTTCTTCCTAGAGCAATGTGTGGGACAGTTTACACAGTCAGAACCCGTGCATGCGTGGAACAAGCTTTGCCCATTGCTCAGAGGTGAGGGCGCAAGTTATTCTAACCAATACACAAGTCTTATAGTTCTTCAAACATCTGTTAGTTTCCCTCCACTTTCAAAATGATGAACGACAACCGGAGACAGCATAAGCAATTATACCTGTAGAATTCTGCAGACTTGCAACACAGTATTTTGCTGCGAGACAAGTTGGTCACAAACGTGGTAATACGCGCAGCAATGTGTTTTAACTTGCAATGTAACAATGTTGCGAGACAAGTTGAAGAAAAATGTTACCCGTATTACCGGGCCTTTACACAGGATTTTCTTCTGTTGATAGTTAAAAAACACAGAAACACAATATTTCGCCCTGCGCTTTACTGAACTCTCTCACTCAATTCTTCTCTCGTCACTGCTCCACAAGGGAGTCCAAGATTCGCATCATTTTACGAATGCGAGTGCAAATAAGGATTTACACTACGAGTTACAGGGGTGGGGGCCGGTGGCTTCATGGTCAGTGCGCTCGATTCCGGATCGAGCGTTCCGGGTTCGAGCCCTGGCCGGGAACATTGCGTTGTGTTCTTGAGCAAGGCAGTTTACTCTCACAGTGCCTCTCTTCACCGGTGTATAAATGGGTACCGGCGAATTTAATGGTGTAGGTAACCTTGCGATACTCCTATCCAGGGGGTAGTAGAAATACTCCCAGTCACTTCATGCTACAGAAAATTTTCGGGAGGC